TTCTCCTCTCGGGATCTTGGGCACACACACACATGCACCCGGAGTGAGTTTTATGCCACTGGGTCTGGGACTCAAACTGCAGTCAACTACATGGGAATCCAGCGACATAGCCATTGCGCCAACTGCTGGTCCATACAGTAGTTCTTTCTTTTTTTTCTTTTTTTTTTGAGAGGTTTTTTGCTATAGGGCGTGTGCGTTCGCCAAACAGACAGAGAGAGACAGAGAGACAGAAAGCGAGAAATCACCCCCTGGGGGGATGGCCATGCTGCAATCCCTTCTCCTCCATTCTCCTCTCAGGATCTTGGGCACACACGCACACGCGCCCGGCGTGAGTTTAAGCCACCGGGTCCGGGACACAAACCGCGGTCAACTACGTAGGAGTCCAGCGACAAAGCCATTACGCTAACTGCTGGTCCCCATACAGTAGTTCTTAAAGTGTGCTCTCATAGGTCCTTTCTGGGGTCTCTAAAGATGCCGGATGTGCACATGTGTGCCCACGAGCCTGGCTGGCTGAGACTAAGGGGAGGATTGCAGTACAAGGACTTTGTTGGGAGTATTTTTCTCTCTCTCGTCTTTGGGGAGAAATAAATACATAAACTTTTAGAAAAAGATAATTTAAATTGGAGTTATTGGAGTTTTCCTTTTGTTTCCCAGGGAAAGATCACTTCATCTACATGTAGGTAGGAGTATATTGATTCAAGTTATAGGCAGGATTTCTGAGTTTATAGAATCTGGAGGATGTCAAAAGTCTAATATGAGCTAATTACATTTGTCCTCTATCATCCGGGGGGAAAAAATGTACACTTGATTAAAGAAAGTTTGTCAGGGCCAATGTCCTGAACAGACTTGGTGTACTTTATTTTGGAAGAGGGGGAAAGATTCACAAAACTCCAGTATAAGCTCCGGTTTTACTGTTAGATGGCTTCGTGGCATCTGGTTCACACAACCTACCTCAACGGCTCACACAATCTACTTCGACCCAACTACTTGTGTTCCGCCTGCTGG